CGCTCGTTGGTTCCGGCGTTTTCGATGGGACAAAATGGCTCGTTGCAAATTGGCACGGGCCCGAAAAACCGTCCGTCGTGAACGCTCGGCTTGAGCCAAATCTGGCGCGGGCCTAATTAGGCTCGGGCCAAAAACGTCCGTGTGAACGCGCCTTATAAACCCCTTTACGTGCGCGAACGTGTGAGAGGAATGCAACGACTGCGCATGCGCAACTCTCATAACAAGAGAACGTCGTGGCTCGGCCCTACACATCCTCACAGTCACATTGCAACGACAACATTTCTCATTGGCATACGTGGCACCCTTAATAGAGTGCATCCTATAAATTTTCTTTCAACTGTAAATTTGAGCGTTATTGTAAACTGCATACACACACAGTCACTAGCTGGAACTAGTGTAGTAAGGCACGATCTCACACAACAATAAGCTTTTTCACCACTGCTTCCAACCTATGTCACTGCGTTGCACGGCAACGCTCGCAAACACGCATGCGCCCGGGTGGTTGTGGTAACCGGTCGAAATCCGCGTACCGCGCGCTGTCGTGTTTCTATGGCAACTACGTAAATCTAATGGTAGACGTGTAGTTGCGTTACACTGACAACTATTCGAAACAATCGCGTACCACGTGCGTGCGTCGCTATGGCAACCACCCGTTACAAACAGAAGCAATTTAAAATCAGCGCTAGGTAGGCCTGACCACACGCGAATCTCTCTCTCTGTGTAGCAGTGCGTTTCCAGCGTTAAAAACATCATCGAAAAAAAATCCTCAAAGGCAATTCGTGCTACACTCTACTAAATATGTGGATTCTACCGTAACTGCATATATATATATATATATATATATACATATATATCAAGAGTAGATAATAACACAAGAGTGAGACACCCGATTCCCGATTCGCATTTTTAACCGATTTTTCTCATCAAAATTTGCCACCAATAAAGAAGCAAGTGTATACGTTCCTCAGCTTATGACAACTAATCACTCACCTTCGTGGCTGATTCGTTTACATATATTTGCTAGCGTATTGCTGTAAATCGTAATCTTGCACGAGCTAAATTCGCCACAATTTACCCTATTGTGCTGAGGTTTAAGTCAATTTTGAAGCTATAGTGGCGCCAATATTTAGCAACGGAATAAATGTTTCCAAATCATTCGTGCCCCGATAGAGGCTTAATGTACTTGATTACCTGCGCGTGCGTAATGTGATACTTTACTGCCAAACTACTACAGAGAATATTGTTATTATTGTATTATTACTTATGTAAGATAGTATGTCAATTTCTTGCGATCACAATAACTGAGCGCGTCTCGCGGTTCCTCACAGATCAAAATTCGAAATTTAGATTGTCTCTCAACCCTTCGCGGGCATTAATGAATTTGCGAAACAGTCGTTGCTAATATTGGCGCGCACTATAGCTTCAAAATTTGTTTTAACACCTCACACAATAGCGGTAAAATTGTGCGAATTCAGCCGTGCCAGATTACGATTTACAGCAATACGCTAGCAAATATATGTAAACGAATAATCAGTACCACGAAGTGAGTGATTAGTGGTCATAATAAGCTGAGGAACTATACACTTGCTTCTTTATTGTGGGCAAATTTTGATTGAAAATCGTGTTAAAAATGCGAGAATCGGGGTGTCTCACTCTTGTGTTATTATCTACTCTTGATATATATGTATATTTATTTATTTATTATATCGATTCGTGAACGCGTGTAATTAATTATACATACAAATATATATATATATATATATCGTATACAATGTGCTTCATCTGTGTATTTCATACGATAAATATATCTGTTAAATACAGACCTTCCACACTTGCAAGTGCGCGAGGGTAATCGTACGTAACCATGGCAACCAAGCAGGACAGACGATCGCCACGTTTTCACGCGTGTACGATTTCCAATTGCTAACGCAACCCTCCAGGAAAATATAACTGATAAGGCAAGACACAGAACACACTCACAGGACAAGCTACTCCCTCGCGTGAAGGCATCCTAACAAGGACAAGGATCGTGCAGACGTCGGTTGCCATGACGACGGCCCGACGTGACGTCATTGTCGCCGCTTGTCGTTGCCGAAACTTGAGACATATATTGGCAAGCAGGGAGCGTGGACGGAGTGTGAGACTGAACCACTGGAGTGAGCAACGAGCGGAAATGTTTGGAACGGACAGTACTGTAGTCGGAACGTGCCAAATTTACAGTACCGTACTACAAATAGAAAATGGAATCGGAATTCCTAACTTGGAGTGGAGGGAACAGATGGAACGTACAGTACTACTATGTACTCGGAATGTACATAAAATGTACAACAGTGTACTTGGCATGTACATATACTGTATAGCAATGTACTTGGAATGGACATAAAATGTACAACAGTGTACTTGGCATGTACATAGAATGTACAACAGTGTACTTTAAATGGACATAAAATGTACAGCTATGTACTTGGAATTAGAGTTATGTAGTCTTGGAATGCACATAGAATGTGCAACAATGTACTTGGAATGTACAGCTATGTACTTGGAATGTACAGCTATGTACTTAGAATGTACGTTTCTGTACGGTGAACTAACACCCGGCACGGTTGAGCGAGATTGGTGCTATAACTAGTGACTACTGATATTGATTATTGATTATTGATTACCGATAGACAGCAGCTGCTGGGCAGCATAAATATATACTATCCCTCTACTCGTGGGGTAGCAAGAACCGCGGCCGAGCGCGTGCGCACAGGGGGAGGAGGGAGGAGGACGAGAATTCAGGAGGAGGAGGAAGACCCCTCGGCTCCTCCCAACATCCCCACAACAACGAGAACGAGACAACGTGGGTTCTCCTTCATCCCTTCTCCTCCAGTGGGAGAGAAAGATGGGATCACCCTCGCCCCCTCTATACATCACCACAACAACTAGAAAGGCTCTTCTCCTTCCTCTCTCCCCTCCCCTCTTCTCCTCTGTTGACAACAACAGTTGCCCTGATCGCAAAAAAAACACAACAAAGTGCGAGAGATGACGCAATCAACGAGACGGCGCCACCTGGCGGCCGCTGCCTCCGACGTCAGCCACGGTTGCCGTCAAAACCTGG